CAATATTACATAATAAATATAAAATTCCCCCGTGTTCCATAAAGGTGGATTTGATTTTATCTGATTTTTTGCCGAAGCCGTCTCCGATACGTCAGTGGAGGATGGGGATGTCGCTAGAGTGGTATATTTAGCGGAATGCTCTTCTGATTCATCCTTTCCTTTTAAATTATTTAAAGCGTACATAATCGAATTATAAATCTTTGACAACCGAAATCTATGTGTACTATTATTGCTAATGGATAACGAATTTTAGATTTATTAAATTTTCGGAAAAAAAAAGAGTGTAATTCTGGATTAAAAGTGAAAATTCCCAATAAAGCTTTCAAATTAATGTTGTGTTGTGAAACAATATTTTTGATTCTCTATGGGGACCACATACGTATATATACTATGATTAGTGTTTGATCATTTTTGTTGAATTAGTTGATATACTGTATGTGTGTCTGTACGCAAACTTTCATTATGCAGAATCCAAACTAAAAAGTATTGAATTTTTCTTTTACATATTAATATATTATTAACTTAGTATATACTGTGTATACAATATTTTCAGAAAAAAATTTTTTATTTAAATTATATATATATTTATTTTTATAATGTATTATCAGTTACTATTATTATTATTTTGATTCTAAATTAGTTTATATAATAATTATTATTAAAATTATATATTTAATGCTTACTGCAAATATATGCTATATATTTATATTATTTTTATTTTTATTTTGATAAACAACAGTTTCTTTATTATCATATAAATAAATTATACATTTAAACAAGAACCTATATCTCTCAACTTATATAAATTAAATGCTAGCTTATTAACTTAACTATCTAAACTATATTAGAAAAGAAATTTTAAATTAATATATTATTTAGATAAGAGCATAACAGATCATATTATTTAAAGAAGTACTGTATATATAAAGAAAAAAATAAAAAAATAAAAAATAAACTATGTATTAATAATTAATAAATAACTTTTTACATTACAACTTTGACTTATACAATCATAAATTTAAAAGAGATTAGATATTAATATATTTCTAATAAATGCTTTAAAATTTTAATCTTTGATTAATACAAATTATCAAATCTAGGGATATAAATACTAAGTAAAATATAATTTCAAAATTTCCTAATAAATACTTTAAAGAAATTGATTGGCTTAAACTGTTAAATTTAGAAGCAATTAATTGTTAAGCAGAATACAAATCTAATATATTCTATAAGCTATCTAAAAGTTATAATAGTATTATATATTAGTATTCATATTATTGATCTTTTTGAAGCTATTTATTTAATATTAATATATAATAAGTTATTATTGTTATTATTATTATTATTATTATTATAATAATTAATAATATAATTTAATAAAATATAATTAGTCAAAATATAATATTAATTTTTTAATAAAAGTAAATTAATTTTAGTTTTTGTTAGAAAAATTTTTGTATTTATATATATATGTGAAAAGATATCAAACCAAAGATTTTTTTTTTTTTTTTTTTTTTTTAAGTAACATATAGAATTCATGGATCAACAACATCAACAACACGCGTCTGATATGCAATCAGAAACAAATATCCAACAACCAATAGAAAACCAGATCATTGAGTACTTAAGAACGTTAGAAGATAATCATGATACTCATGATCAGCAATGGATCAAATCACTTCTTGAAGATAGCTACAACAACTCCTCCTCAGAATTCACAGAACTTGGGACAATAATAAATATCACAGTCTTAGACACAGTAGCAGC